TTGTTTTGTCATGAGCTCTAAGAAAAGGCGGCTACGACGAGGACGACTATTTTGGTGGAAAGTGGGGCTCAAAGGGCAAGTCGGACTACGGAGGTGGCAAGTATAGCGACGACGAAGGGTACTACGGTAAATACGGTGGAAAGTATGGCAAGTACGGGAAAAAGGGTGGCGGCGGAAAGTACGGTGGTGGGAAATACAGCGATCACGAAAACGATAGTTATGAGAAAAGAATTTCCCTAACATGTTGATTGTGTACTAGCTTGCTTCGTAGTACCTATTTTTCTTGTGAAGGTTTTTTTCTCATTTTGTTGGTTGTGTACCACGTACCTACCATACTGGCTCCTACTATGGAGGCATCGTAGATGGATTATAGTAGACTAAGTAGACTTTCGGAACCAACCTACACCCCTTATTCGATAATAGCACGCACCATCTTCGTCTCCTTCTTCCATGTCCCTCGGCTCTGGTTTCCGTCGTTAGATTAGTAGAGATATTTTTATTGTACAGTTCACCGTTGCTGCCTCGGGATAATAGAATTCTCGATTACAACAACTGACACATAGCTTAATATTACATTCCCTATCCACACTCTAATCTCTCTACTACGAAGGCCCAGGGAGCAAAGGCGAAGGCCGAGGATCGAGCTACAGCGACTACTATGGCAAGGGAGAGCGGTATCCTGGCAAGGGAGACCGAGACAACTATGGACGATCCGAATCCTATGGCTCAAAGGACTATGGGGGCAAAGACTACGGCAAAAGTCGATCGTCAAGCTACTACGACAGCTACAGCAAGGATAGAGACGAGTACCCAAAAGGTGGATACAAGGGCAAGAGGGATTACTATGGGAAAGGTACCGATTGTTCTCTAGCTCCTTCAGTATTTGCTGGACAACAACAACCCTTCGTATAATTCTCGTAAAGAACCCTCTGAAGAAACACATCTCCTTCAGCAATGAGTGATGAAGGTTGAGGTTCATCTTGTTCTTGAGAAGTCTAAACGAGCATTCATGCACCGATGGTTCATCTTCCACTCCCACAATCACTCCCACAACCACTCCCACAATCACTCCCACAACCACTCCCACAACCACTCCCACAACCAC